CAGGCAACAGCAGCTAGATGGCTACGCGGCCAGCACTGTATCTCATCTAGAAGCTAATTTCGTTAAGGAAAGAATGCAACATTTCTCTGATGGTAGAATCTAAAAAGGCCAGAATAATAATTTTTAAAAATCCTAAAGGTTTGGTCATAATTTGATTTCTCATCTAGTAAATGATAGTTATTAATTGTTCTGATAAAAACGGAATGTTATCTGCTACTTTGACATGATTTTGTAGAGGGGACAATAGTTTATTGTGCATGTTATATGATATTCCTCGAAGTTTTAACATCTTTAAAAGCAGAATGCAATCGCACCCCCAAAGCAATGATTACTGCTGCCACATTCACGCAGATATATTTCTGTTCTGCGTATAAAAAAGGAAATATGTCATACTTTTTAATTAATCTGTCAATCTTAGAATAAAACCGAACACTGGCCAATGTAAGGTGAAGCTTTTTTTAGCAGCCAGTGTTACATTAACAGGGCTCTGTCTTACAGCAGACATTTTGACTTGTCGTAAGTAAAAGGACTAATTTAGTTTTATTAATAACCTCAACAATGACTCTCTTCTATTCAAGTGTCCTGGTGAGCCATGAGAGGTAGACAGTGAGCCAGCATGCACAACAAAACCCGAAACTGTGGCAGCTAAATGGAATTCAGCCATGATTCATTTCATTAGTTACACATGTGCTTTTCATACTGTGACATGTCAAAAGTGTCACTTTAGTGTGGACTAAAGCTGTGAACAGTCCCCACTGCAGTTCTGACATTGGTGGAGGTGGCGCCAAAGGGATAAAAACGCAAGGCTAAATAAAGGTAATCAGCTGTCAGTGGTTATCCCTATTTCTGGAAGTGGTTGTAAATATTTTAAAACAAAACCCTTATCACAGCTAACATACACAGTATTTCCGATTAGTTAAGTTTTAGTTTAGATCTAGCAGGATCCAGCCAGATAAGACTCCGCTGGACAGTAAAACCTGAAGGCAATCTCTGAGTCTCATCTTATAAAGTAGAGCTAAATAAAAAGAAACTTCAGCATTGGTTCATTTACAGCATTTCATTTAAAAAGTGGCAAGTTCAATTAATTCAATCTCCCTGTGCATAGGAAATTATAACCAAGTGTGAAATGTGTTATGGATTATTATTTTCTTCTGTAATTGAGAAAGCAAAACTAGATATGTGCTGTAATGCACAGAGCTTTGTGGCGTTGCTGTGGCAGCCACAACAACAGCACGATACTTGTGGTTTGTGTTTGCTGTGGGTGTAGCAATAGTTCATTAGCACCTGTTAAACTTACAGAAACAACCCATTAAACTAAACGAAACCCTGGTACAGGACACTGTGCTGAGCAGCTACCACCTATTTACCATGCTGAAGCTAGAGGTCACTGACATTGTTGTTCAACACACACAGCATATGACATAATAAAAAGCCATATTTACTTGGCTTAAAACGTTTCTGTGTACAGGCCACACACAGTGAGTCCTGTCATTGCTCTATTACTTACTGTAATTTTCCATGCGTGTTCACGCTGCATTGCACAGTTATATTCAGTCGTCCAATATGGCTGTGATTACCTCTACTCTACTTTTTAAAGTCTACCCCTGCAGTTTATATCCATCCCAGTGGCACACAACATTACCTATCTACAGCCCATCCTCAGCTCAGTGCCTTAGCCCTGGCTCCAAAATGACATAACGTGCTATGGAACCTGCCCGAAGTCCCAGGATGCTCACTGTACACTCCACAGAGGGCAAACAGAGGTTAACAACCCTTTATTAATCCCTGCTAACAGAGACACCCAGAGGGAGAGACACGCAGGGAGAGATAAAGAGGTATAAAGACAGTTTAATAGACTGAGAGAGAGAGAGGAGAAAAAAATGAGCAGAGACAGAAACCAACAAAAACAAGGAAGACGTGTGGGTAGAAAATTAGCAAAAGAGAGGAAGACACAACTAAAGACAGACAGACAGAAACAGGAAGTGCTCTGAAAAGCTGAATAGAGGCAGATTCCATGCAGATACCAGCTTTGATTCAGAGCCAGTGATATCTAACGACCCCCTGCATAGCATGGCAAGATGGTTGACTGCTCCCCACACTCTGCCAAGGCACACTCAACAGTGTCTCTTTTCTTTCTCTATATCAGAAAAACACACACACACACACACACACTAACAGCTACGGCGCTGTGGGAGCACAGTTAGGAGGTTTGAGCTGTAATTGGATCGGCCTCTATTTGGGGTCAGTGGTAAAAGTGAAAAGACTGGAGGCTTTTTCAAATGGACTAAAGACCAGAGAGACACCGGAGAACAAGAAAGGTCACTATCAACTAGTCCTGCGGGAGAAATGTGTGCGTAGGTGTGTGTGCGTGTAACAGAGGTAAGAAGGTGTATGAATTGCTCACAAACTGAACTGTGATTATTTAGCTTGCTGCAGGAGGCAGAGGGTTAGCTCGGGGGACAGACATACACACGGAGAGGTGATTGAGAGAGACGAGGATGGTGACAAGTGAGACAATTAGGAGGATAATTCAAATTGATCTGGTGTTTGAGCCGTTCAGTGCGGCGGTAGGGGTTTACGTGAGGGGAAAATATGGGTATTACCAAATCACTTCAGCCATTTTACTGTCCTCCTCCTCCTCCTCCTCCTCACTGAGATCTCTCTCTCTCTCCCTCGTCGATACTCAGCCCATCCCTCAGCGCCACCAATCAATCGACCGATCGATACCAGGGTACGTGTGTGTGTGAACCAGAGTTGAGGTGATGTGAGCTGGACAGACCGTGAAAGGTCGAACAGACTGCTGTGAGATGGCAGAACATTTCCCCTTAAGTGTGTACAAGCTTGTGTAGAGTTTTATTAAATTAAATTAAATTCATAATTTGCACCAAAGAAAAAAAAGAGCTCTGTTTAAAATGATTATACACATGTTAACAGGTAACCTCCATATTTAGGAGTTTCTTCTCTGATTTGATGTATTTATCCACTCTTTTTTATGGCTGTATTTATCTTTAGGTATCAAACATTCCCAGTTTGGTGCATTCATTCAAGCGGGCAATTCATTATCATTATTTTGATTTCCTCTCTGTAACTGCCTGATTTAACTCTTGACCTCTTTCTCTCTTTCTTTCCCTGACCTCGAATCTCTCTCTCGGCTCTCATCCTCCTATCTGGCCAGGTAGAAACTAATCCCCTGTGTCTTTGCTGCAGCAGACTGTACAGGGGACAAAGCTTGCTGCCTGAGTGTGTGCGTGCAGGTGGTGTGTGTCAGTGTGTGAGTTTATGTAGGAAGTGAGGGGGGAAAAAGTAAAAGCTGCAGAAGGAAAACTGCTGAAATTGAGTTCACCCACCTTTCTTTGTGGTTTTTAATTACATTCTGTAGATTTATTACATAGTTTAAACTGTCATAGCATTTTTTTCAATATGTTTTTAATTTGTATGACGTCCATTTGTCAGCAATCTGCAGGTTTTTGTGCCGATCACCACCAGCCTTTTGTTCTCCTGTATTTTCAGTACATTCTAATTCAGTAACCATGTATTTTAGGACAAAGAAAGATTCAATTAGATTTCTTCCCCCTCACTTCATACTGCAGTACGTAACAGGTTTGCGTCTAGCCTGAGAGGACATATCTATAGTCAACTGCAGCACTTACTGCAAATTTCCTCTTATTCTCACAGCAGAATATTTCACGGAAGGGGGAAACGTCAAGCACGCACACACACACCTACAAACAAGGTTGTGGCAGTCACAGACACACACTCACACACGGGCTGTGTGCAGAGTGTTCAAATCCAGTCAGCTGCTCCTCCCTTCCCTGCTCGTTTTTGTTTCGCCAGGCTGATTTGAAAGACATTTAATTATTGAAATGCAATTAATGCAGCGGTGGGAAAAGGCAGGACACACACACACACACACACACACACACACATCATAGGCGGGCAGAGGGAGGACACAGCAGGCTTTATATCAACAGAGATTAAGCAGTGTTTCAGATGCATTTGGGATTAATACATTGAGATTATAATTAAAAGGGATACTGTTTTTCTGAATATGGAGCTGGTGGCACTGTGGGCCTAAATGAGGATTTAGGAGGTCATTATCTTGGTTGCAGAGATAAAGAGATCATAGGAGGATTGAGAGAATGAGACAAGAGGAGGAGAGACACTGAAATGTTTATTACTGACCATGTTTTGGCATTCTTTTCTCCTCACAAGGTATCAATATACAATTCCTATGATTTAACCCGAGGTGAAAAGTCAGTTTAATATGAATATAAGATATATGAGATGTATTTTGTTTCCCCTTATCAAATATATGAACCAGCTGAATCTGCGGGCAATTCTGATACTACATGGATTTTCACCAAAACCACCACACATACAGACACACACAGACCTGCATGAAGGAATAACAAGTGGTGTGTGTATAGGTGTATGTATAGGTGTGTGTGTGTGTGTGTGTGTGTGTGGGGTGGGGATAGGGTAGGAGCAGGCTACTACAATGTGCCTCGTTAATTCAGCCACATGCTGTCACCGCGCCTTTGCCTGTATTTCAAGGACAAGAACCACACTGCAATGCCTGAGCTCAGTGAACAACAAACAACAAAAACAAGCACTGCAATCGTAGACCACCGGCAGAAATGCAACAGCACTGGGTGGTGGAAATCGGGTAACGGCTTTAATCAATAGGCTTGAAGAAATATGTTTGGCTCCAATGTGCGTCTCCACCCGCCCGCCCTTATTAAAAGCCTACATATGTTTATTATAGCATCATAATCCCGGTATACTGTTCCATAAAATTCCCTATTACAACTACACATTCCTACACCTTCATACAAAAAATCATACTATAGAAAAACTCACAAATAGGCTTTTCTCTTTTTTTTTTTTATCTTGCTAAACCTGAGCAGTTAGGGTTTGTTATCCTGTCATGTTATTCAGATACTGCGGTACAGGTTCTGTGGCTGAACTAGTTGTAAGTAATTGCTTAAAACGGCTCTTACCGATAAACGGTGTTAGGTACGGTGGGTGGATGGATGGATGTGTGCGGTCTCTCTCTGCTGCTCTCCTCCAGCACCGCAGCGGCTCGCTGCTGGTTCATTTGCCGCAGACTCCGCCCCCTCAACGTCGATTGGTCCAATGGACGTCGACCAAAGAGTATTGACGAAAACCGAAATGGTCACGCGTACCCTGTTTCCGTCTTCGTTTATGCGAACATTCAGTTTACTTGTATCATTTAAATGTTTTCGACCCTCCTCCTGGCGGCTTCGTGCTCGTTGTTCGAGTCACTGAAAGACTGTCACATGCCAACACACATTGTTCAACCTATTTTATATCACCTGCCTCAATTGGTATGCCCTAGTAGCTTTATCCTGCTACAGCGGTTACCATGACGTTAGTTTCTCCCTAATGTAAAGTGCCTGTAACGAACACAATGTTCTTAACTGTTTATGTGTGACGCCAACCGACAGCAGCTGGTGGATAACTATCTTGACCAACAGTGCAACAGATAATTTCGTGCTGTACTGATAACTAGCACAGTTTGCGGTTATTTAAACTCCAGATATACCTTCTGCTAACCCTTGAAGATATATTTTTGTATACTGTGCACTTTGTAAAAGTGGGAACGCGATAAAATGTCCTGTGCGAAAGCGTCACACGGTTCTAAAATATACACCACCTGTGCCTTTATGGGATTTGTAGTCTGTTTTGGGGGCCATTACAATGAAGGGACATGGAGGAGGCGTACGGAAAGAACTACAACCTGCCTCTGGTGCGATACCGACGGACAGCTCCCAACACCGCCCACCCCAGACTCCCGGCTATTACAGCTTTGTGAGGCAGAAAAACTTCCTGAATGAGACACAAACCACAACAAGACGGGAGCGAATAGCCCGTCGGAGCTCATAACTGAAGCACTTGTCAGCTATTGTTATTTAACTTTTATATTCCCGCTGTTTTATCATTAAATAGTTAGGTAGAGCTCGGGCGCTGGTCAGCTCAGGACAGATTTGATCACCTGCTGTAAAGTGCTAATCTTATGTTAGCGCATTAACGCTACCTGTAGTCAACACTACCCAGCTCCTGGTCACTGGCTGGTCGCTGCTCTTCTCTTCATTGGCAGCAGTAACATCGTCAGGTAAGTGTCGGGCTGTCAACCCTTTTCCACCTGTTTACCTTTACAAACCCGCGGGGTTACAGTAGTTACGGGAATCAACACCTGGCGTCACTTTGAGCTGCCACGAACATCAGTAAATGTAAAGTCACTGAAGTTGTTTGTTGTTTGTCCCACTTGTCAAACAGGGAACTTATCTCAGTGACCTTACTCGCACACAAAATTGCCGCCACAGCAAAAATAAGGTTCGAGGCCTGTAAATGTGACCATGAGTTATGGTCATAGTCTTTTCATTGCCATTTCTTTTGTGTTGAAACGCAAGGGGTTTATATTAGAGAGTGACTTTGTGGGTTGCCAGTGTCTGGTTGTGAGCTTCATGCCACCTGCTGTTGTGGTAAATGTTTCTAGAAGTGTAATGGCTCACACAAATGATCCAAAAGGTTGTCTATAAAGACCTCTGTCCTCACATCAGGTACAGTACAGGTGCAACTTTAAAACATTATTTAATGTTTCTGTTGTATTTAGGCGCGCCATGAAGCTAGATTAGATAGCCGGCATCCAGAAAAGCAGAACTGTTTGCAGGCATGACTTTACGAGTCCACCTGGAGAAGATGCAACTGTTCCTCATCCTGTTTACTCCATCTATGGAAGAAATCTCTGCCTCTGGTAAACAGATCCTGACATTCATTTATGGCGCTTTGACGCTTATGGTTTTACACAAGCTTAATAGAGTGTAGAGTTAACCAAGATTACACTAATGGACTTTTTCACACATATCTTGTCTCTATTTTGTTCTTGAAATGTAATTCTTCTGTTTTTATAGGTTTTCAAACTTTTTTGATAACCTAAATAAAACAGTAACTTATGTACATGAACAAACTTTAGATGTGAACCAAATCCCCATTTTAGATCGAGATTCAATACAAATTGAGGATTTTAATGAATGGATCATTTGAATTGTGTTGCTAGGAAACAGCTTGTCAGCTCTCTATTATTATTACTATGAAAGAAGAAGAGGACACTCCACATCTGACTGTAATAACTATAACTACTATTTGTATAACACAGTTATATCTCTGTTTCTTGTATTCCTATTTTTTTTTTAAATTATCTGTTCAACTTAAAGAGGAGCTTGTCTTTGCTGACCTCTAGTGGTGTAACTTCTCACCTTGCTGGGGACCAAGTATCAACCGATTGTGATGTCGCCATTTTAGGCAAGAAATTGGCAATGCAGTATCAGAAACTTGATTTATGTTTGATCAGCTGCCTAGTTTGTTAGATTCGTGCGGTGCGCTGGAAGGACTCACTGAGAATGAGTGTCAATCACAAGGTAGCCACACCCTAAAGCATACCCTGCTTCATCATCTATTTTACTCTAAATGGGACCATCATTCACTAAATGAACGACATGCTGTAAGGAAGAAGACTGGAAACATGCGGTTGAGACCATGAACTCGTTAGGACACTGTCTACTGAGCTCATAAATAAAGTGAGAATAGGATCATTTCACATTAGCCCGTATTGGACTTCTTTTTGCAGCCCGTGGCGCTGACCCCTGCTGGCCATCGGCGAGAATACAGGTTTAAGACACTTCCACGTCGGCTTCACTTCAAAGACCTCTGTCTACTAATTACACACTGAAAGCACAGCACTTTGTCACTGTCTGGTGGTTACAGGTCCACTTAAACCCTCTTCTGACCACACCCAGCCACAACAACACCAAAGTGACACTGTGCCTGGTAAGAGGTGAAGCAGGTTGAAAAACTTGAAACCACAGAGGGCAGCAAAACACTGCTTTTCAGCCTGGTGTTAAGTGACTGTGTAAAGCCGACAGAAGAGCTGTCTGTTGTTGTCTCCCAGCAGCAGCTCTCTCTGGTTGGCTGTATGACGCTGCGACTGTCAGCTACTGATATTAGGAAACACTGCCGCACCAGACCCTTTTATAACCGTATTAATATTTGTGTAAAAGTGGATAAGTAAAAACATTAATGCTAATATTTAATAATAAACGTAAGAACTTGACATTAGATAGGAGTGTCCAGTCATGGTCAGGTTATCAGGGATCTTGAAAAGCACAATGCACGGAAGTAGCCTCGGTATGTGTCCCTGCCCTACGATTAACGCTCTGTCGTATGATCACAATGAAGAATGACATCACAGTAGATCCTGTAAAAGTGAACAAACAATAGGTGAGGAAAAACTGGTTCTGGAGGTGTCAGATATGCGTGTGTGTGAGAAAGAGACAGAACACAGGGCAATGATATAATATAATATTTCTAATTCTAGCAGAGATGGTTTTATTGCAGCAATAATATTGGAGAGGGTGTTTCTTATTCAGGTATGACTCATGCCAGTTTTGTCACCATTGCACCCGGTGGAACAGTAAAGGGCCCACCCTTTGGCAATGTGGTTGTTATGTGATGATCATGTCTGTGACTGAAAAGCTTTCCGAGAAGTGGTACACATGGGATTTTATGTCATGTAATGGGAAAGGAATAAAGCTGGTGCGTTGTTGGAATCATCATGAAAGGGATGTATTCCGTCTTTGACTAAGCACGTTTTCTGATCCTCTTTTCAACATCAGAACATTTAAATAGCCCAGTTTAGGTGGTTGAACTGATTCCAGATTGTAACCATGCTGAGCATTTTTTTCGTTTAATCCCCTACTCTGTCATTCTCATCCACCGCCATCTCTCTCTGGCTGCTTGTTCACCTGTCCTGCCCCCTTCTTCTTCAGGTCCTCCTCTGCTCCCATTCTGTCAGTCTCCGTAAGTGATTGAATGCGGTGAAACTGGCATCAGTGGACGAGCACACACACAAAGAGCCACTGATTGGTCAAGGATGACCATGGAAGACATGAAGAATGAAGCTGACGTTGCCTTAACAGGCTCTATGGCTCTCTACAATGTGATGTATCCTGTCTTTAACCAGGTAAAGAATGTAGGGTTTCAGTCGAGGTAAAAACGAAACAAAAGGGAAAAATTAAATGAACAAGGCCAGGGTTTGATGCATGAGAAGGAAATGTGGATAAGACTTGTGGTAAATATTCATATATATATATATAATGTGTGTTTTTAGAAAATACTGGTGGAGGTTAATTGTAATTGGCTTCGGTGCAAAGGTTGAAAGGTTTATAGTGTAGCAGAATAGAAATGAGGAAATGGAAGGAACAGTGTTGAATATTCCCCGTTAATGTTAAATTAGCGAGGAAGACATGCCAAGGATAAGTGCTATTCTGCTGACAATATGTGGGCGCGTATTTGTGTCTACATGATGCATCCTTATGTATACATACACGTGCACTTGTGTGTTATGTTTTTTCACAGCCATACCAGTTGAGATGCTTTTTTTGCATGTTTATTTAAGGTCTGTGCTCTGCGTATTTTCCGCTCTTCAGATAAAGTGTTTTCAGCCTTGTTAACATGGCTCTCGGGATGGAAATGTCGGTGTGCCGGTCCACTACGCTGGTCCAGGCTGACATATCTCAACAACTATTTGGATGGACTGCCATGAATTTTTGTACACACATTCATTGTCCCTACATGATAAAACAACTTTGCTCACCCTATGACTTTTTGTCTAGCACCACAAACGTAAAAAGGTTTTTTGTATTTGATGCTTCATTAGACAGTAACAGCTGGAGAGACGGACAGGAAAGGCAGAGGAGAGAGAGGGGATGATATGCAGCAAAGCGCCCGGGGGTTGAATGTTAATTGGCAGCACGTACTTGAAAACAAAACAATTGGCCTCACTTATCAAACAAATTACATACCACTTTGTACTGAAAACAGTTCAAAACTTTCATCTGTGCTTTATGCATATAGGGTAACACTCACCGAGCTGGATTATTTCATAATGTACCACAAAAGACAGGGATATTGTGTTTGAAAGTTTGGCATACACTATAGATAGGACATCTTTTTTTATAGTTGCCCTGGTGTCCATGTAAACACAGCATCATTCCTCTCTCGCCCCTCATTTCTTGTTCCACCAATCTCCAGTAAAGACATAAAACGGCAAAGTTTGAACTGCAAACTATTGTATAGCCTAAGGCATCGTGTCAAGCTCATCTCAGATCTGATTGCTGGGACCGGGCGAAGCTTGATAGGAAATTGATTAGACACTTTATTTTAAAACCGCACACGTGTGAGTACACGGCGTGCAAATTGACAGACTGAGCTCGGAGTTTGACGTAGCCGCGAGCTCTGTAACACCAGAGGAATGGAATAGACTTCAGTACTCCTGAAGAGTAGATGGAGAATACAGATGATTGGACTGAACACACGCTGTTCACAGTACAATAACACCGTGTCCTCCTTTGATATCGCAGGATGCCTGCCTGGTTTGTGTGTACTTTATGCAGAGTTACATTTCAGGACGGAAGAGAGGCCACGATAAGAGCTAAGCTGTGTGTTTGTGCTGCTGGCTTATGTTCGTGTCTGTGTATTGTAACTTGCAGTTGGAGAAAGTCAACTTATCAGCAGCGCAGACCTTGAGAACAGCGTTCGAAAAGGTAACAAAAACAAAAATTCCCTTTTGTTTGTTTACGTTTTCAGATGAACTGCTATTTTTCTTATAACTGTGCCATTACCTTTCCTTTTGTAATCATTCCACTGTGTTGATTTGTAGATTTGATCAGTTTTAGTGCCACAGAAGATCAAGGCTGGCTGCAGTTACTGTCAGTGTAACTGTATGTTTGTGTGTTTCAAGGCAGAGAAGGAGAACCCGGGTCTGACTCAGGACATTATTATGAAAATACTGGAGAAGAAGAACTTAAAAGTCAACTATAACGAGGCTCTACTTCGCATGGCCGCAGACGATGTGGAAGGTAGGAAAGAGAGAGGGAGGGTGAAATGTGATACCTCATATAGGCCAACTATACGACAGTACCATGGTGAGATTTAGAGTAGTATGAGAAAAGCCGCAGTTTACATATCTCATCTTGTGTTACTATAAAGGATTTTTAAACCGCTGTCCTCCAGAAGGGGGACGTGCCCACCACTGCTGCTCAAGGACACTTCAATAAACTGGATGATTACCAATCTGGCTTCGGTTTCTGTGATGCCTCGGCCCGTATTACATCAGCCAACTTATCCACTGGGGGGAGCTGTTTCTCCATAAATCCACTGCTCTCCCTGTACTCAAATAGTCCTTTCTGTCTGTAATTGAATTCCTTGTGCCGTGTACAGTGATTGATGGCAGTAATGAATTCACACACACACACGCACACACACTTTAGATGAATTTTAAACCTACCTCCTGCATGGAACAGCCCAAATTCTACCTTAATCCTGCCTTCACTTAAACTAAACAATGTCACTTTAAAATATATGCACACACATTCACATGTGTATATCTGGTCCCGTAATCACACATTTGCACTATAGATGTGTTTTTCACACTTGCCACCAGTATTAATCGCTTCATTTCAGTGTCCCCTGTATGTATTTGCATGTGTGTTAATGTGCCCATCACTGAGGAGTTTAAACATCTCTACGTTTCTCTCCCTCTTGGCGTTCTCAGAGTTCATGATTGACAGGCGAGAGCCAGAGTTCCAGGAGCTGAACGAGCGGGCCCGAGCTCTGAAACACATCCTCAGCACCATACCAGATGAGATCAATGACAGAGTAGGCTTCCTACAGACCATCAAGTAAGACAGCTCAGTGTGTGACTGTATGCGTGTGCAATATACATCAGGCTTAATTCTATAGGAAAGTTTCAGTCTAACATCTTGTGTTAATTAAATATATGGCCAGAAAATGTCTGAAGAGGACTTCTAGCCTTTTAAAATATTTTTCTTTTCTAGTTAATTATTTGGTACAAAGACTAAAGCTTTGACTCTGTGCGTGTCTTTATGATTAAGACCCTCATTGCATAAACACAATAAAAAGATCTTTTTTTTGAAGCCAATTTTGGATGAGGCCCTATTGAATGCAAAGTCAAAGAGATGAGTGGCTGTGAATAGATGCAAATTCGCTCTATGCAGCGTAAGGAAACAAAGACGATGAGTCGGCACGAGTTGGAAATCTTTCAGTAGTTGCGGGGGAGTTTTGAGGTCAATCTGAGTTGACACACACACACACACTTGTGATTAGTGCATATGTTGCTAGCTGGGGCTAATGTCTGTATTGTTGGTACATCATTGGCTGTTTAGGGTGAATAAACACAGACTGCACAAACAGTTGAGTGGTCCTGTTTATGCTAATTAAACAGGGTGAAAATTCTCCTATCACTCTGTCTTAACACACCTTAAGAGCTCCAGTCTACAAGCTGAAACACGAGATATGGTTCTGTATTACTACAGTACCTTCAGTTAGCGTTTGTGTGCAATATGAATGAGCAAAATGCAATGGAATTTGCCTAATTTCTGGTCTAAAACTGGTCAGTTGTGCTATATCAAGGAATGGTAAATTAATTCATATGTAAAGATCGTTATATCTGTCAAATAGAAAATGTTGTATTCCATTTTAGGGCTCAGCTACATACGTATTTGTTGGTTGAGGCTGCGACTTCACCAGTCAAAGTTCACCAGTGTTTAACTTCGCACGAGGCGGAGATGCAAATCTGCTTTACTGCCAGAAGTGAAGCTAAACATTGAATGGTAGTGAATTGGAGGCGGATGTTCAACAATGTTAATTTTGTGTATGTGTGGCTGCGCCCATATTCTCCTGTGGGTGTGTCTCTCAATAATTTACAGCGACACGTATACGATCTGTCACAATACTGTATATTCCACATATAAGAAAAAGAAAATAAACACCAAGACACATAATTAAGTCAATTCACAAAAATATCTACAGAAATAGCATCTCCGAGGAATGCAAACATTGGCCATGGAGCTGTCATAACTCAGTCAAAGTTGTATAATCATATGCACTGCTTGTATCTTGAGTGTACCATAAGTAACAGTCCTTAAAATCCCAAAACTAATTAGCATTACCGTGGATTTTATAGACCATACTTATGGTACACTATAAAAAATACTGGTAGTGCATAGGGTTACACAACTTTGAATGACTTATGAACGCTACAAGGAGAATGTTTGAATTCACTAGAGATGCAATTTCTGTAAATGTCTTTGTTGTAAATAGACGTATTTGTCGTGATTTCTCACTTGTTCCTGTCTTTCTTTTGTTTTTCTTACATGTGGAATATAATGTGACAGACTGACCACATGTCGCTGTCAATTGTTGAGACGCTCCCACACCTGTGCACTCACAACGGGTGGAGCATTATCTGTTTAAGATCAGTGTAGAATGGTTTAAACATCCCCCCCAGACATGTATCAAGACAAATAGTTTGCTCGGGACAATAATGTGTGTTTTTCTACATAACAAAAGATAATTTCCACATTAAAATCCTTAAAAAGACATCTACTCCTTCTACCTCATTAAAAATACAAGAATCTATGAATATGCTCCTTATGTTCATTTCTGAAGTTTTCCTGCTGGACACACGATGTCTCCTATTTCACTGTACAGTCCATTCTCAGTGTTTGTGCTCTGGCAGCTTCAAGTTTCTATATCACAGTTGTATAAGTTACATACTGGACTAGGACTGACTTCCAAACTATTT